CGGGCGGCGCGCACCACCCGCCCCCCCGCGCATGCGCACAAGCCTCAGCCTTGTCCCCCATATCCGAGCCCACGCGCGGAATCTGCGTGATTCCCCGCTAGTGGCCGAAAGCGCCCTGGTCCACAGACCCTCTGAGCGCTTCGTCCCTCTAGCCGCCGCGCTACACACCCCACTGCCGACGTCCGGACAGCTTCGCCCGCTCTGGCCTCGCACCGGAAACTCTGGGTAACCGCTGCTGGCAGAGCCTGCTCGCCACAGCCAATCAATAGCCAGCACTCGCGCGCGGCTTGCTGGGAAAGATGTAGCGAAGGGGCCCCTGAGGCGGGTAAATTGGGAAGGCGGGGGAGGGAATGGACTACAAATCCCTTCATGCTCCGGGGCTGACCCCAACTACCAAGATGCAATAGAAAGGGCTTTAGCCCTAAGAGCCGGATACCCAGGAGGTCCGAAAGGAGCCAGTCATTATGTTCAAGTATCCACGTCAACTTCGTTTTTGTCGCACAGAAGCTATGATTCAGCTCTCAAAGCCTTACGCCTGGCTGTTCTTTCTTGCACTCCCCCACCAATCCTTTCCCCTCTGCTGTGAACATATATGGAAACTCTGAGGATAAAAGACAGAATACTAGTCTGGGCACCAGGAGACCTTTATTGCATTCCTAACTGAACTAATTTGTTGTGTGACTGGGCATTCTTTTTTTCTCCTAGGGCCTCTTTCCGTATTCAAGTGGAAGCTTTTAGTAACAATTCTTTGGACGCTTACGGTGTGCTTTCACGGTAACTACTTGCCTAATTCTCAAACTCAAGTACTATTTGTTATTCCTATTTTACAGCTGAGTACCGTAAGGCAAAGATTAGATAACTTGTCCGAGGTCACATCGCTATTGAGTGGTTAGAGCAGGAAGTGTGGCACCAGCACCCATCTTAACTACTGGACTACCCTGCCAGAAGAAATAATCATCATTGCACGTTTTCCCTGAGGATGAGTCAAGATGACTTGTGAAAGTAGGTTATATTTTTTTCCTTCTCCATTACCAGCATGAATCCCTTTTTGGAAGGGGCTGAGGGAGCCCTGCAAGGCGAAGTTTAGCCTCAGCGGAGTCCTGAGGCTTTTCTCTGACTGGCCCACTTGCTACAAAGTCTCTGTTGCACTAGGGCTTAAAGTGGGTAGGGGAAAGTCAGACGTCTTTTTCTTCAAATGTGAGATCACAAATTTTTAAATTCAGTTTCCTATAGATAATAGAATAAAAACTAACAACCCATGCACCTGGCATTTAATACCTACGTGGTTTGGCTTATTTCCAGCCCATCCTGCCCATCTCCTCTGCCTTTTTTGCTCCAAAAGTACTTTTACTATTTCCAGGACTTCCGGGGTTTTTGCAGATGATATTCTTCTAGCTTCCAAAATGCTCTTCTGGCAAACATTTTTTCGAGGCCCAGCTCAAAGGTCACTTCAGAGCCGTCTCAGTGCTATGTGGTCTGTTCTAGCTCCCTACCTCTGGTTAGAGTTGTATTGCAGCATTAGTAAGGTGCTGAAATTCCTTGCTTACAAATCAATGGACAAACTGTTGGCTAAATACTCTAGTCCTGAAGCCTAGAGTTTCCAGGGGCAGAGAAGGCATTAATTTGTGCAAATTCGGTATTGTTTTAGGGCTCTTAAGATGTTAAATATTTTCCCCAGAGACTCCAAGATAGTGCTCTTCTCTCATCCCTTAGGCAGCACAAGTTCACATTTTAACAGGTAACATTGAGAGGCAATATGGTATAATACTATAAGATGAAACTCAAGCCCAGAAAGGTTTGGGATTCAGGTCTCACAAAACCAAGACTTGATTATTTCCAGAAAAGCATGTTGGAAATCTGTTGAGGAAACATGTAAGTCAGGCCTTAATGGATTTCCATAGGAAGGTGTTCTAGGCAGAGATAATAAACATAATAAGCAAGAACAAGGTATGCATGGAGGGGTAGAGTGGTTTAACAAGAAGGATCAACAGTGGCCTGCAGGGGCCATCTGGGTAATAAGTGGAGCGGGCAGGCAAGGACTAACAAAATTTGATAAACATGGGTTAAAAAGTTACTTTATCATTTTGCTATACAATAGCAACAATATTAGCATCTGCCAGTCAGGGAGACCACTGGGAATGGTGGTGATTGTGGTAAAACAGTTCTTGCAGAATGTTTTCAAGCAGAAACTCAAGCCCAGTAGTGATATTTTTCAAGATAGAGATCTTTATTTTTTTAAATGTTGGCAACGAATTAAAACTTAAACACAGTCAGCCAACCAAAATCCTTTTGGGTCGAATCAACTTTTTGACTGCTTGTCTGTAATCTGCTTTAGGAATTGATCTCAACTGAAGCGAGTGGTCTGTGAACTCTGTGACCTTAATGGGCTCAAATGGCTGTGAAATGGTGCTGATGAACATGTCAGGATCTTTTAGAGAAATTCTAGAAAGTGCAAACTACACAGAATGCAGATCAGTAGTTGCTGGCGGTTGGGCAAGGAGAACTTCCTAAGGGGCATGCAGAAACTTCTAGATGGTATGTCCACCAACTTGACTGTGGTGATGGTTTCATGGGTACATATATGTCAAAACTTACCAAATTGTACATTTTAAATATGTGCCATTTACTGTATTTCATTTGCATTTCAAAAAAACTTTTAAAAAACATCTTTATAGCAGGAGCAGGCTGTTGCCATTCTTAATTCCATTGTTAGGCCACAAGTTCAAACACCCTCTCCTCATTCACTTCCAAAAAATCCGGTCTAGCATCATTCCAAAGAAGACGATTTAGAACTTTGCAACAGGTTTTTATTTTTGCTTTATATCTATTACAGTGTTTGAAACCTAAAGAAATACATTTTCTCTTCAAATTTGGATGTGTATATAAATATCATTTGTCTGGACTCAGTACACTCAATGCCATGGTTTCTTGGCCTATGTCTGCTCTGAAATCATCAAGCTTTATCTGTCTACCCAGGGGCCCTGAGTACTTGGAAAATAGCCAGAGTTTATAGTTCTTAGAAAACTAAAAGCAAATAAATTTGGAAAGAAAAACCAGTGAGGAAGAGGGCTCAATTCACCTTCCAAGGGTCTGTAGCTGGGAACCTAAGCTGTTTTTGAGGGACAGATCTGGTTTGTCTTGGGTGGCTGGGTCCTCATACCCCACGCCCTTTACTTCTTTAGTGGTTCAAAGGCAGTTCCCACAAGTTGGCTAAAAGAGCCAATACCCAACTACAGGGCCTGAGGGTTTATAGAGACAGACTCTTTAAGGCCATCCTCTGAGTCAGAGGTTCCCAGCCAGTCTCAGGATCTGAGCTTAGACTTCCTTCACTGCCCCTAGGGCATGGCAGAGTTTTCTCTTCCCAAACCCTGAAAATCTGACCTAAATGGGAGCAGGGTTCAGGTATGTGCTAAGAGACATCAATCAGGCTGACCTAAAAGCAGCAAGGTAGGCCAAAACTCACTGAAGACTGTTATAACACACTATGCAAACCTTTCTCCTGTGGTGTTCTGGGCCCAAATTTTAATGCTGCCTCTTCTGACTCTCATACCCAGTTTTGGTTCTGAAAATAGCCCAGGCTGGACACAAAATGCCCTCAGAGGAAAAATAACAGCTTTAATTCGGACTTGGTTGCTACTGACCTCAAATTCTTCCCTTTCTATGGTCTTAATCTAGCGGTGGGGCTTGGGGTAGACAATAGGGTGACTGAGTCATTTATGAAGGCCTTGGCCAAGGAGCAGCTAGTTCTCAGCTTGCTAGCTTAACAAAAGAATCCAAAAGACAGAAAAAATACTGGACAAGATTGGTCTAGAATCCTAAAATGGCTGTGGAAGAAACCTACTCTGAGCAATTTCTTAGTCTGTCATTCACTTCTAGGATAGTCCTACCCGGAAGATGATGCCACCAGTTATGAGCATTTCCTATGGTTCAGTGCACTGCCTGAGCCTTGCAACCTCCCCCAGACTGCCAGGGAGGCAGTCAGTCACACACGTTCCTGAGGCCCCCAGCCAGCCTGTTTTCCCTACTGATCCCTGTAGCACCTGTAGGGACCTGTAGAATCTGGATCTTTGCTCTCCATTGAGAATCCAGAATCTGAGCCTATAAGATGAACCTACAGAGGAACACTCAAGATGATGGATACCAAGCTGAGTCTTGGGGAGAAGAGATATGGTCTGAATATATGAGCTGAGGCATGCAAAGAGGGGTATGTGAAATGAGGGAAGTATTGTAAGCATTCATCTCCTTTCCTTCCAGTTTGCTAGAAACAGGAGTAACTCTAGGATGTAGGGAGAAAGCAGGTAGACACAATAAAATGGAAATCCACTTCATTTTGTAGATGGTTTTCATTTTAAGCTGGTTTGGCTAGAGAGAAATAGAAAGCCTGTGCCTGAGAGCCTCCTTTTGCTCTTCCTTGACTCAGTATAGTAGGAGCTATCATCTTTTGCAGTTCAGCTCCAAAACATTGGGCTCATGGAAAATGGCTTCCAGCACAGAGAGAGTAGGAGTGGATCCAAGGGTTCTAGCTGAGGGGGAACATCAAGGGTCCCTGAAAGCTGAGGTCATCAACAGCTGCTCCTTGGAAGGGTCATTTATACCCAATACCTCAAGCAACCAGGCCAGCCAGCTAAGGGTGGAACCCATGTGGTTCTACCAGAAGGTAGCGCCAAGACCAAGGCCAGGCAGTCACTGGGGATTAGATCAGAACTGAGAGCAGGTTTCTAAGACCAGAGACCCTGTTAGTACTAGAGAAGATGATTTGGGGATAGGATGCCCAGATGGGCTGGCAATAAAAAAGCTGGCACTGTTTAAAACAGTATTTGAACACTTTAGCTAAGAAAAAGGCTCCTTGTCCCCTTAGTCCACCCCCACCAGAGGTCTTAAAATAGATATACTAGCCATGTGCCGACATCTGAAGATTCTGAAAACATGTCTTATTAGGCTATTCCCTACAGCAGGCTGGCAGTCCCTCCATCCCTGCAACATCCATTCAGAAGTCTACCAGAAAGCCTTTGACCTCACGTAGGCCAGGGCCTGGAGTTTAGGTGGGAGCTGCCCATGAAGAGTGGCTGTTAAGCCTGGGTTAAAAAAGTAGTATTTTCCTCACCAAGTTGGCCAAAGGAAAGGAGGAGACACAAAAGATGATGTTACTGCCGCTGAGGGCTGGAAGAACTTAACCTGTTGACTGAAAAGGGGGTTAGAGGAAGATAATGAGAAAACGTGGTCTGAGGAAGACACTAACAAAGGGAAGCTCCTGGAGGCCACTGTTATCAGATGAGAAATCTGTCCTCATGCTATGGCCTGGGAGACTATAGCCTTTGGAATCCTTAGAGAAAATTGGTTTAAGCAGCAGCCAGAGGATCAAAAAAGTCAGCCATGTGGTAAAGGACCAGATCTGAAATGAAAGTGAATTTTGGAGGAACAGTTGGGAAAAGCAGGATGTGTATGTCTCACCATAAGAATCTGGCCCCAATGTCAAGGACTTAACTATTGCTTGAACAAAGATGAGGTGGGCTTTTCTTTTGAACTGTAAAATAGTTTTGTAGTGGAGTTAGCAGGCCAGGTGGAAAAGGTCTTGCCTCTTGCCTACCTGAGACACTAGGGGTTGACATTCCCAAGCTGATGAGTAGCATCTGACTCACTAAGGTGCTACAGCATTGGTGTTACTTCAGTAATAACCTCTAGCCCCAAACTACCTTTCTTAGAAAATGGCTGTGGAGTTGACTCAACTGTAGAAAGAGAGGGCACATTCAAGACCAATGGCTCATAGTGAGCACCTGAACTTTAGATCTGCAGCAGAGGGGTATGGATTTCACCTGAGCTGGAGGGGGTGCGTAAGAATGAGAACAAGATCAGAATTGTTTCTGGGGTAGGGAAAATAGAGCTTGAAGCAGGGCACCTCTGACTGACTGACTGACCGTAGTGGGGAAGCGGGCAGGGTAGATTGCGCCTTCACAACAGTTGGTCTATACCTAGCTGACAACTTCCTCCACCCCCATCTCCAACAACTGGGCTTAATCTCCTATGTAATCCACTGAAGCATAAGCAAGCCACTGTGGCACTGCACCAGCTTTACTCAAAGAGAAAAGAAAAAATGGCATTAGGATTATAATTGTTAAAAGGGCGGGCAAAACTCAAACCATGTACAAGGATCCCAAACAGGGAAGACAACGATAACTCTCATGAAAGTCCTGAGGCTGCTAAGTTTCTATGATAATAGGAGAGGCAGCCATGTGTGATAACTTATGCAAGGGCCTTTGAGACTGAGAAGGCAGACTGCTTTCTGGGTTTTCTGACGTAAGCAGTAAGGACTAGAGTAGTGACTCACCACACCCTGGGGTCCTCTTTGCTCCCTTCAGGTACTGGGACAATCAGACCAGGCTGACCTGCTACGTAAAGGTTCCAGAGCTAAGGGTTGGTCCCAGATGGTGGCCCAGAACCCAAGCAGAAAAGAAAAGGACCAAGCTCAGGCTTCCTGAGCGAGGGAGCTTCCACATCTCTTTTTGGTCCTCCTCACAATATCCTACTTACAGAAATTACAGACACTTCTTCCTCTTGAGACCAATTAAAATTGACCTACCTAATATATAGAATATAAAAAAATACATAACTTTCTGACATTCTCTCCTGTGGAAGTAAAATATACATGATCCAACTATGGAAGAGGAAGAAGAGGAAGAAAGGCCAAAGGCAGGGATCCCTGGCTATCCCAATACATGACACTCTCACTCCAACCTCCTCTGCAACTGATGGGTCACCAGAGCAAGGACTTTCTCCTCAGGAGAAAGGAAGGACCACAGCCTCGTCTCGTGCTTAGGAGAAAATACAGCTACCTCAGAAGTTAATTCAACTCCGAGGGGAATTTTCAAGTAAACAAATGAAGTTGGGTCGCACCATTGGAAGGTGGGTAGGAAACGGGATCAGTAGCGACACATGGGAAGCCCTGTCTGAAGGCCTGTGCTCCTCCCCTCCACTCCCACTGGTGTACTTGCCCCAGGAGAGTGAGGGGGATCTCCCAAACTAAAGAGGTCTGGGCAGGGGTTAGAGGGAGGGAGGGGCTTTTGTCACATGGTAACCTCCCCCTCAGCCTCCAGTCCCAGACAATGCTGGCAGCTGGGATTCCTAAAACCAGGAACTCATGGCTCTTGGAAAGAGCAATCTTAATACAAGAAAAATGTGCAAAAGAAAAAAAATTAAATAATCCAAGCATACAAGATTAATATGCTGTCAGAGCAAGAACACTTTGTTTTGGATTTCTCCCCTCCCCTCCCACCCCCTACTTCTGGAATATTCCATCTGCTCAAGTACCCAAGATAAGAGTTACACACAGATCAGGGCAGAGAACTTGGAAGGATGAAGGAAGATAAAAAGGGAAGGAAGTCACCACTAAAGAAAAAATAAAAATAAAAAAGGTGCAAAATTGATTACCTCAGTCCTCCTTTGACTACCCCTGGGCTCCTGGGTTAAAGACATATGTGCAGCCAAAATATAGTGTAAAGAAGAAAAACCCAACAAGTCCCCTTCTTGTCACGAAACCCAAATGTGAGCCTCAGATGGTTCTGTCTGTCCAGAGGGTGCTCCCTCCAGGGAAGGGGGTGGAGCAGGTCAAGAGCACAGTTTCCAGGGCAGCAGAGGTGTGTGGTGGCGGCTGTTGGTGGGGGGCTGGTTTCCCGCCCACCAGAGGGCTGCTTTTCCGCTGGTTGGTGGTGCTTCCCATCCCATCCCCTCCCCGGAGGCAGACATTATAGTTGGAAGCCCTCCATGGGGGCCTCAGGCTGCTGGAAGATGAATTGCTGTTGCGTTTCATCCACTTGGGGAGCCAGGCTGCTGTCATCATCTTCTACACCAAAGTAGTGCTCAATGAGGTCAAAGGCCTTCTGGTAGATCTCCTGGTTTTCATGGCTCTGGAGAAACTCAATTTTATCCAAGCCTATGGTGGCAAAAAGGAAGGAAAGAGAGAGAAGAGTAAACTTTGAATGCTTTTCTATGACTCCGTGAAACATTTACCTATTTTTCTTTCCCTGAGATATGTTACTGGTTATAAATACAAATAATATGATCAGATCTCTCTTTGACCTGAATGAAAGAGAAGAGCCAAAATCTTTTCCTCAAACTACATAACTTCAAAGGAAAAAGACCAAAATATCAGTTATAAATCAAGTTCTAGTCCTGATTCTGCTTTTAACTACCTGTGTGACATGGGCAAAGCATTAGCCTCTCTACATCTCTCAGAGATGAGTGATGAGTCCATCCTGTACTCCTACTGGAACTTGCTAGAAACTCAGCTAAAAACACATCTTCCAGTGCCTGATTTTATCATCAATTCTAGAGCTTGCTTTTTGCATCTGTACCATACCTACTTACTGGGTAGAGCTCATCAGAAAGAGAGCTAATCTACCGTTCTTCAGAGGGAGAAGAAACTGGTGGGATAAAACCTTGCATTCAATAATGAGCCCCCGCCAAACACACACCTTCACATAAGTATACTACTTTGGAGACCTACAGTCCCCAGGTTCTGACTAGAATCTCCCTACTTAAGGCAAAGGTTATGTTGGGGAGAGGGCATATACCATAGGCTTCCTCGATGAGACCACAGTAGGGATTGACCCCTGAGCCACTGCGCTTGCCCTCCTGCTCTCCAAGCCGAAGGATGTTCTCCAGTCCATTGAGGGCCACCTGCACAATCTTTGAATCCATCACAGTCAGCAAGTCGCATAGCGGTTTGATGCAGCCCAGTGAGACTAGGTACCTGGGGACCAGAGACCAGGCAAGTTCTAAATTAATGCAGGGCAAGGGAGGTACCAGGCAGGTGCTGTGGTACCTGTGGGTCTCTTTCATACATGTCAACACACTCAGCATTCCACTCTTACTGAGCCTTCATAACCACCCATCCTTTATTTGTCTCTCCACCCTCCCAGCGTTACTGGTCTAGTTCATTACCATGTGGAAGGCTGCCACAGATTCCTTCTCCTTGTGTTTGATATCTCCTAGCTGCAATATTAACACTCTAAACACATCATTTCCCTGCTTAAAAATTTTCAAAGTCCAAGCTCTACAGATATGTCAATACAGACACTCTTCAGTCTGGCTCTTATTCATCACTCACATCTTCTAGCTTCACTTTCCATCATTCCCTTCTAAGGTTACTACATTTCAGTCAAACATGTAAAGGTCTCCAGGTTTCTGATTCTTGTACTTTTTATACTTGCTTTATATATGTTGATCAATGATGGACTTCATATATGACAGTGGTCCCATAAGATAATAGAGCTGAAAAATTCCAATCACCTAGTGATGTTGTAGCTATCGTTAACATATAGGGCAATGCATTACTCACATGTTTGTGGTGATGCTGGTGTAAGCAAACCTACTGCATTGGCAGTCATATAAAAGTATAGCACATACAATTATAACTAGTACATAATACTTGGTAATGACAATAAATGACTATTATTGTACATACTGGTTTATGTATTTACTATACCGTATTTTTTATTGTTATTTTAGAGTATATTCTTTCTACTTATAAAAAAAGTTTGCTGCAAAACACTTGCCGTGTTATGCTGGCAGCAGCTTCATACATTTTGAGCTTACCGTGTCTCTTGATTGCATCATTTTCGCTTGTGTTTGATTTAATCTCATGTTGTTCTGTACAGTAGCATGCCGTGTGGACTTGTAGCTTAGGGCAATAGGCTGTACCATCTAGGTTTGTGTAAGTGCCCTGAATTACGTTTGCTCAATGATGAAACACCTAATGATAAATTTCTCAGAATGTATCTGTCATTAAGTGGTGCATGACTGTACTTCCCTTCCTAGGCTGAGGGCAAGACACTTGTCAATTCTGAGGGCAAAACACTTGTCAATTCACACCACCCTATTCATGCTGATAATGGAAACTAAAATCAAAAAGCATACACACACACAACGTCTTTCTATTTGTCCCTCCCAAGTGTCACCTCCAAAAATGATTTCCCAGAGAAGCTGCTTTGAATGAACCATAGCATGGTTCTCCTTCATTTGTATGGATAATTGAGTATTACATAGATTTAAATTCTCTAGAGGGTAGGAAGAGATAGAGGAGAGGTAGATATCTGTATCACAGGTTTCTATTCTACAGGAGGGAAAAGAGGTACATGGTCTACAGGTGTCTATTCCAGACTCCAGTGCCACTCTAGCAGCTTACCAGTTAAACTCTACTACAGCTGGACTGAGGCAGACTTATTCCAGAAAAGCAGTTTGGAGGTCACATGTAAACCATGAGCCAAAAGGGAAAGTACACATATTACTCAAGACAACGAGAAAGGAATGTGATACCTGATCTGCTCAGGGGTTCCTCCTGATGTGGCATTGGTGATAGCCCAGGCTGCCTCTTTCCTTGTACGAAACTCTGCTTTCTGAAGGATTTCAATCAACACAGGGAAGATATTTGCATCTATGACAGCCTGAGAGAGGATTTGGGTGGGGTAGAGAGAGAAAGAAAGTCACTTCAAGAGAATTCAAACCCAGCCCACAAATCGGCTAAGATTTAGGTATCTTCCCTTCCTGGGAGTTTTCTGTGTTCTTTCTATATAGGTGAGAGGCTACAGAGGAACTTGGCTTCTAGTACACAGAATCTTTAACCAGTAACACACATTGACCCCCATTTCTAAAGGGAAATTAGTTCTTCTAGAAGCAAATATTCCACAATTTCTCATGTCCCCATGCCTTCCCATCTGACACCCCACCCCCTGACTTCCCTCCTGCTTGTTCTACCTGTATTTGAGCCCTGTTGCCAGCAGTGATATTTGAAATGGTCCAGCAAGCTTCCTTCCGGATTGACTCCTTGGGGCTGCTCAGCAAGTGGAGGAGGCAAGGGAGGGCTGAACAGTTAAGAATAACCTAGAACATCACAAGCATAGGCAACAAAAGAAAAATTAGATAAATAGACTCAATAAAAATTAAAAACTTTTGTACATCATAAGATACTATCAGTAAAGTGAACAAGCAAACCACAGAATGGGGGAAAATGTGCAAATCATGTATCTGATCAGGCTTCATATCCAGAATATGTAAAGAATTTCTACAACTCAACATCAAAAAACTGAGCCCAATTTAAAAAATAGGCAAAAGATTTTAATAGACATTTCTCTAAAGAAGTTATACAGATGGCCAAAAAGCATATGAAAAGATGCCAAACATCACCAATCATTAGAGAAATGCAAATCAAGACTATAATGAGATAACACTTTACACTTATTAGGATGATATATATATATATAAAACAGAAAATACAAGTGTTGGTAAGGATGTGGAAAAACTGGAACTTGGTACTTTGCAGGTGAGAATATAAAATAGTGCAGCTACTGTGCAGCAGTTTGGTGGTTCCTTAAAGTCTTAAACATAAAATTACCATATGATCCAGTAATTCTACTTCTGGGCATTATCCAAAAGGACTGAAAGCAAGGACTCAAATAACTTATACGCAATGTTTAATGCAGTATTAGTCACATAGCCAAAAGGTGAAAACCACCCATGTCTATCAATAAATGAAGAATAAACAAAATGTGGTGTACGCATTCAATGGAATATTATCCAGCCATTAAAAGGAATGAAAAGTCTGACACACACTACAGTATGACTGAACTTCAAAGACATTGTGCTAAGTGAAATAAGTTGACACAAAGGACGAATATATATGGTTCTACTTATAAGACGTACCTAGAGTAGTCAAGCTCATATAAAGTAGTATGGTGGTTACTAGGGGATGTGGGGAGGGGTAAACGGGGAGTTATTTTTTAATGGGTACAGAGTTTTCATTTGAAATGAAAAAAAATTGTGGAAATGTATATGGTGGTGATGGTTGACTAACAATGTTAATGTACTTAATGCCACTGAAATATACACTTGGAAATGGTTAAAACTGTAAATTTTATGTTATGAATATTTGCACATGTACACACAAGAATGACCTAGAAAATGAGTGTGGGTTTGAGTTGAGATTGCTCACCTTTAAGAAATTTGTCAAAAATCACACAAAATTATGCCAACCACTCAAGACCTAATGAATACCCAGTTCCATAGCTTTTATTATCTTAAAGGGACCATGACTCAAAAACTGTTAACTATTATCTTACAATACCCTGGATACTAAGCCAGGTTGATTTAGTTTTCCTTCAAAAGCACACAATGGATGATGATTTGCTTCCCATTTATAGAAGAAATGAAGGCAACCAAGTTGCCCATGGTCATATAGAAAGTGGCAGAGTTGGAATTTTTCACTCAAACCCATGCTTTCTCTCCTAGACCATGCTGACTCTCATCAGGGCCAAAGCCTTTGGCAGGGTTTTGTCCATAGACAGCTCTCCTCTTCTTTACCTGGGTCTGGATGTCATCCCCAGTGACGATGTTGCCCACAGCTCTCAGGGCAGGAGAAGCCACTTTGTAATCATTATGCCTGCAGAAGAGGGAGATCTCATTAGTAGAGGACCAGCACACGGTACTCAGCCTTGCTGACCACCAAGGCTGACAGCACTCTCATGGCTCCAGACCTTTGGATAGGGTGGCAGTTCTTTACTCTGAGCTTGGAGAAGCTTAGGGAATTTGTACCCTTTCTGAGATCACTCACATCAGAAGCTCTACTAATCTCCTGCAGACTCCAGAGTCTATGACTGCTTGGATCTTCTCGTTGGGGCCATCAGACAGATAAGAAAGGGCCCAGCAAGCATCTGCCAGCAAGTCTGAGTCACTGCTGAAGAGGAGGCGAGAGAGCACAGGCAAACAAGGGGAGACCTGTTGGAAACAGAGTGAGAGGGACTCATAGGAGGACATCAGCTCTACTGCTAATATTAACACTGCTGTTCACTCCTCTATAAGTAATTCTAAGCCCTAGAGATCTCTGCTACGTTTTTTTAAAATTTATTTTATTGCTTTCAAGTATACAGTATATTGGTTAGAAAACCTCTACTACATTTAATCATCAGGCCTAACTTTTCACTTTACCATCCAGCAAACGAGATCACCCACTTCATTGACCTCTTTCAATTTCCTAAGGATTGAGACTCTAAGGGGTTCCCCAAAGACTTGAAAACTCCCATATAAAAATTCCTCCATATGAAGGAACCTGCTATCACTCAGAACTGGTAAGAAGCTCTCTCACCTTTGCAAACTCTGGGGGTGGGTTCTTCCCTCGGCAGAGGTTTGACAGGGCCCAGACTGCATTCCGTGTCATTGTCAGTCGTGTGGACTTTGTAAGGAGTCTGAAAGAAAAAGCAAAGCCAGATCCTGATCAGTGATGTCCTTGGCATAGGGCTGTTGCCAATGAGCCCCAGGAGCAAATCCAATAAGATCCCTAAGACTCTGGTAGCTTCACTGTTTCTTCTTACCCATAGACCTAAATAAATTGAGCATGTTTGGGTCAGGAGGCTAACCTACATCTTCACAGAGGATTAGGACCAGCTATGGCTAGTTAAGACCATGACTAATAAGAACAGAGGGCTGGATCTTGGGTAAGCCTGTAAAGCTTTTAAGATAAGACATACTGTGTCCCTAACTGTAGCCACAAGTTCTAAACAAGAAGTACTGTTCTCTTTGGAAATAAAAGCTGAAGGTCTAGTGTGAGGGCTTTGGCCATGCAGTATGGAATGGCTTTCTGTGAAGGGCCCAAGAAAGAATTATAGTGGTAGCCTATGAGACTGTGGTCTCTGAAGAATACTTCCTCTATCTATTTTGGTTTAAATGTAATGCAGCTTTACTTTAAGGGTATGAGAGGGAGGGATGGAGGATCCAGATGACCCTTCCTGGAGTCTTTGACATGGGGTTTACAAGAGAGCTCTTCAATGTACCTATGCATAAAGCCATAGAAAATCAATGTATTCTGTAGAGAAGGCTGAATTTTTCCTGATGGGCTAGTCCTGCCACTTTTCCCAGGCTCAAAAATGAGACAGGCATGACCAACGTGAGATTCTACAGTGCCATGAAATGAAGAATATCCACTTGGCACAGACTAGCAGCACAATTTTCTTGCTCTGAAAAGATATATTTTATTTCGGCAATCTAAACACACTTTTAGTTTTGGTTTTGTATTTACTTACCATCTTAAGGTAAACTGCCCCCCAAAACACCTGCCACATGGCTGCCCTACAGATGCCCCTAGTGGGATGATCATTAATTACTCACGTTAACAAAGGATTAAGGATGGAACAGTTCAGGACGTAATCTCGGCAAACGGAGCTGTCTCCAGCTATGTTTCCCAGTGCCCAGACTGCCTGAAAAGGGGATGACAGAACCGTCACCTAGAGTCTAGTGGCTTCTGTGAGTCCTTTATAATCAGGACAAAAACCATATCAAGGCCCAGACACACAAAACAAACTCAGGGAGCCTCCTTGTTGACACCTTTTTTGAGCACTTGCTCTATGAGGACCTTTTCTCTGAGAGTTCCTGGCTCAAGAGTCCTGGGAAGACAGGCTGACATATGTAATGCAGCCAGAAAAGTCAAACCAAGACCTCCCTATTGCCACCACTCAGAAAAGGAGAAAGTGATTGAAAAGTTGCATTTTTGTAGCCTCATTGACCAACTCTAATACAATGGAGGAAAAAAAATCCCAGGACCACTCTCCACTTCTATCCAACAAGCAAAATTCCAGTGGAAGAAATGGAAGTTGTTATCTTTATTTTGATGATCTATAGGATGAGAAATGGGTACTCTGGTGTCTTTTTTTCCAATAACACCTCTGATGCCAAATGTGAAGTTTTTTCCATATCAACAACCAATTCTGACACCAACTGTGTGTCCAACAATTCAATTCAATTCTGACACTAAGTCTTGGAGTTAGCGCAGACCTCAACAGATTAAGGACTCAGTCCTACAAGACTGTTTCCACTTTAGACACCAGATGCAATTACCAGCTACCACCTGTACTTCTGACCCAGTGGCTATAAATTTGAGAGTTCCCACAATCCTCTCCTCAGGTTCAGTAATTCACTAGAGGTTCAGAGAACTCAGGAAAATGCTTACATTTACCAGTTTATTACAATGGATACGACTCAGGAAAAGCTAAATGAAACAGATATATGGCGCAAGGTTTAGTGTAAGGAGCAGGGGAGCTTCCACGCCCTCTCCAGGCATGCCACCTTCCCAGCACACTGATGTGTTCAACCTGGGAGGCTGCTGAATACCACTGCTCTGTGAGCACTTATAACCTGATCTCCAGCCCTCCTAATCTTCCTGGGGAGGTTGGGATGGAAGGGTGGGGAAAGGTAGAGCCTGAGAGTTCCCACCCTCTAATCCTATGTTTGCTCTTTCTGAGTCCCATCCTGAGACTATTTAGGGGCTCTAACCTGAATCATCTCATTAGCATAGACTCAGGTTGTTCTAAAGGGGCTCATTATAAATAACAAAAGACACTACTATCACTCATAAAATTCCAAAGTTTTTAGGAGCTCTTTGTCAGAACTGGGGATGAAGACCAAATATATCTTTTATTATACCACAGGTATCACTGAGAATTAAGCTAAATTTGAGCATTACCTGTTCCTGTACATCCTCAAAGTCCGAGTTAAGCAGCTCTATAAATATGGGGACAGCTCCTGCTTCAATGACAATTTTGGTCTGCTGAGAGGTTCCAGAGGCAATGTTTGTTAGAGCCCAGGCAGCTTCAAACTGAAAGTGAGATTAAGCCATGATTGAGAAGTCATTCCAGATGGAGCAGCCATTTACCAGCTGGCTATGAGCAGTAAGCCTCTTGCTCCTGACTAAAAAAATCAAAACACAAGCCTTTCCCTCTCCTCACTTTAAATGGTAGGAAGAGGTCTCCACAGAGAAATAACCGAATGGGAAGACAGAACTGGGCTTCACTCGACCAGTTCTAGTCTTGCACTACCACAACACCCGTGAGTCCTTTAGCAAATCACTTTTTTATTTTTCGAGTTTCACTTTCTTCATTTCTGAAACCAGAATTAGAGTGAGATGGGTCTCTCCAAGTCCCTTTCAGCTGAGTTTCTAGTAAGTTCCATCAGATTAACTATCTATTTCTAAGAGAAACCCAGAGGCTAAATGGTTTCTAGGGCTTATGTCTGGTACCCCCTTGCTCTAATTCTCACCTGTAATGTACAATTCTCATTCCTTTTCAGAAACTCCACAAACCGATCCACCACTCCTGGAGTGTTGATAACTTCATCTATTGGAGGGCTAGGCTCTGGAAAAGGGAGAAAGGAAGAAGAAACGTCAAGATAGGCTTTGGCTAATGCACTCACTAGGGTCAGCTCACCATGCTTCCTAGGTACTCCTGGCCATCCTTATAAAACATTCCCAACAACCATTTAACAACAGCTGGTCATCTTTGAACTGTATGATACAGTTCGGACACTGAAGAGTAAAGCCCATCCTAATTTAAGTTTGCTCACCTGAACCTAAGCAAGTACCTACCTTACTTAAGCAAGCAAGTAGTAAGAGAGAGAAGAAAGCCCAAGGGATGAGCAACCCTAGTCTAAACATTTCATCTAAAGATTTCCCTTCGAAGACTAGCATTTTCTCTTGGGAGGACTGCTTAATATACTGAGGCAAGGAGTATTTTTCCTATCATACATCAAATTTTTATTAAGCACAAACTACGTGTCAGACACAGTTCTAGGTATTGAGCATATAGTGGTGAACAAAACCAAAAGTCTCTGCCCTCATGGAGCTTACATTCTAATGAGGAGATACAGATGATAAAAGTGTAACAGAAAAAAAAGAATTGGTAGGGCAGGGTAGGAAGATTAAGAATGCCAAGGGTAGGGAGATGGCCAGTAATTTTAGGCAGAATGTCAGGGCAGGCTTCATTGAGATGGTAAGATCTGGTCGTAAAAGTGAGGGAGCTGTCACATAGATATCAGGCAGAAGGAACAGCCAATGCAAAGGAAAAAAATGTGCCTGGCTTATCTAAGGAACACCAAAGACAGCAGGGTTAGAGTAGAATGAGTGAAGGGGAGTAGTTGATGAGGTCAGTGAGAAGAAACAAGACACTGAATTATGTAGGGTCTCCAGGGAGGACCAGGCTTTGTACCTTTGGAGAGCAGTTTCCGGAATTTCTGTGTGGTTGCTAACTGCAGGTCAGAATCATCAGAAAAGAGCATCTCTACCATCTCTCTTGTGATCACACTCTCCTAGAATATAAAACAGGTTCGAGATTTTGCAAACCACACTAGAGCCAGATAGGGGAACACAATCCTGAATAGCATCCTGCTTTTAAGTCTAAAGACTTAAGAGCAAAAGGACAGCATGACAGGCTCAGGAGAAGGTGTTTGTTTAATCCATGGCTTCTGCAAACTGGGACATTTGACAGTGATTCCTAACTTCTGAGGCAACTGATGGCTTCTTTTAAATGTTTCCTCAGGTGTCCCCATCCCCACCAGAAATAAATCCTTGTTGAGTCTTTAAGCTGACAAAAGGGCCCATGGAATAAAGAGCTTAGCATGGTTGTCGGCAAAACTACTAGATGAAGTGAACTGCCCAGTTTCTATTCTGCAAAAGTAGCTACTTCTCAGGCCTGCCTAAAGCAAAGTCCTTACCCCAGTGGTAGAGCTCACATAGGAGTCCATGAGGAGACTATCGAACATGGCAGCCTCTTCATTAATCATCTCCACATTTCTCCGTTTAAAAAGCTGCAAGCAAAGAGAAGAGATGGTAGTAAGATTACCTACTGAAACAAAGAACGACCCAATGTTAAATTATGGCATAACTGTCAAGGAAATGCTAACATAGTTGAGAAAACGCCAAGCTTAACACAATGACATGGAAAGATATTCAAGGGCTTTACTTTCTATGTTATATTAAATTGTTCACATTTTTTAAAAAGCAAACAACTCTTTAAAGATTCTAGTGCTCTTTGTATAAACGGTCATGAGTACTACAACCATGCCACCCTGAACACGCCCGATCTCTTCTGATCGCAGAAGCTAAGCAGGGTCGGGCCTGGTTAGTACTTGGATAGGAAACCACCTAGAAAGACTGGGTGCTATAGGTGTTAAAAAAAAAAAAAAAAGGTGATGAGTATAAAAGGCTTTGAAGGAAAGAAGTAATGGTAAAGCAAGAGGGTAGGCAAGAGCAGGTTAGGTGACTGCATATAGGTCTAGGCAAGGCACCAATTTAGTGAGTGTATAGTAGAGCATAAATGATGAGGCATTATTATAGTCTCGGTCCTAGGGAGACTTACAAAGAATGGACCCCAGAAATAGAAGGAAGCCTCTTAAAGAGCCAGACTTAGGGCTAGGCCTTGAAGGCCAGGCCTAACACTTGACTATAGGATAGAGAAAAGGCAACAAGGAACTAGAACTAGAATGTTATACTGAAGACATAAATGATGTCTAAATTGTTCTAAATTATGGAAAAAGAATAAAGGGATTTTCTCTCTTTTCCAACATTTCTTTACAACAAAGGAAAGTAGATAAGTGGCCCACAGAGCTCAACTACTTTCCTAAGGAGCAGGTGAGAGCACAAGGTGGAGGCCAATCATTGTGGCTGGATCCTTTCCATGAACATCCCGGTTAACCCACCTGTTGCTCCCGCTTCTGTTTCCGGAGCTGAATGCCCTCTTCTTCTCTTCTTCGCCTCATTTCCTCAGGGTTTAGGGCATTGTTCTTATAGCTCTTCATTCGATAATTGTCCTTCCCTGGGCTCGCCATGGTCTCTAGATGAAGGGAAAATACAAACACATTGGCAAAGGTTCTTAAGAGGGCAGCATTTCTTTTTTTTTTTTTTTTTTACAGTAGAAAAGAAAAGTTTTATTAGAAGGGCAAGTACACTTCCAGACATGGAAGTGGGCCTGAGCAAAAGAAGCGTGGCTCAAAAGGCTAGCATTTCCTTTTCACCGGGCTTCTGTCCCTACCCAGCCTACCCAATTGGGGGTTCACAGATTCTCAAGGAGGCCTAATAATCTCAATAATCACACCTCTGACATCTCTCATGCCACCTTCACACCAAGAGTTTCCTTTAATCATAATAAGCTGGTTAAATAATTATAACAACTGATATAAGCATAGTAGTTAAAGTATAGGCCCTGGAGCCAGACTCTGTGGGTTCAAACTCTGGCTCTTCTACTTGTTAGCTGTTCAATCTTCAATAAGTTGCTTTAATCTCTATGCCTCAAGATCTCGTCTTTAAAACAGGGACATAATAGTTACTACTTCATAGAGTTGTTAGAAGGATTAAATAGGTAAATACATGTGAAGTACGACTTAGAATAATGCTAGGCATATGGTAAATGCTCACAGCTATGATCACCTCCATGACAAGAGAGAAAACAGTAATATGACTTTCCCAATAAACTCAGATGTATTTAACCTGGTCAGGGGAAATACATCATACTATATCCAATTTAGTGGAATGAAATACATTATAGTATATCCAATTCAGTGAATACCATGTATCTTTTTTTAATGACTGATATACCCACCATACATTTTTTAAATTAGAAAAAAAAAAAAAAGAATTAATCTGTAATATTTGATATGTAAAAAAAGATAAGGCATAATGTTAAATTACCAAGCACAATAATGCAACGAGAATCTGTAAACCTGCCACCAAATCTAAGAACTAGAATGTTATCAATATGCCTGAATCTAGTTGTGGGCTCTTCCCCTATCCCAGGGTCCTTCATTCCCCTCTAGCCAAAAGAAAACTGCTATCCTGAATTGTCATTATCTCTGTTTTTGTTAATCACATATAAGTATATCCCTAAATACTGTATCACATTGTATTTAGTCTTCTGAGAACTGCCCCTGCTCCTGCCCCAAGTGACTTCCTAAGATTTACCCATGTTTTTTCATGGAACTGTATTTCATTCATTTTTTTCCTATATTATTTCACTGTATAAATATATCATAATTTAACCATTTTTCTGTTGGTAGAATGAATTTAAAAAAACATGATTCAACAATGTGATATATGCAAATATTTAACTGTATAGCCAAAGACACGAATAGGTTGAAAGTAAATGGATAGAAAAAGATATTTCATGCAAATTGTAATCAAGAGAAAGCTGGGATGGCAATAAAAGGAGACAAAAAACTTCCAAGAGACAAAGAAGGTCATTACATACTGATAAAAGGATCAAGTCATCAAGATATAACAACTATAAAAATATATATGCACCAAACTAGAGCCCCAAAATATATGAAGCAAACACTGACAGTCTTGAAGGGGTAAATAGTTCTACAATAGTATTTAGAGACTCTAATGTACTACTTTCAATAATGAATAGAATACCTAGATAGAAAATCAATACGAAAATGGAAAACTTCAACATTATAAATGAGCTAAACCTAAAAGATATAGAATATTCCACCCAACAATAGCAGAATATACCTTCTCAAGTGTACATGGAACATTTCCAGGATAGACAATGTTAGGCCACAAAAAGAATCTCAATAAATTCTAAAAAACTGAAATCAAAGTGTTTTCTAAGACCACATGGAACAAAGCTAGAAATAAATATCAGAAGGAAAACTGGAAAATTCACAAATATGTGAAAACTAAACAACACTCTTAAATAATAAATAAAACTGGAGGACTCACAATTCCTAATTTCATAATTTACTACAAAGCTATAGTAATCAAAACAGCGTGGTATTGGCGTAAGGAAAAATATACAGATCAATGAGAGCCCAGAAATAAACTTACACACTACATAAAACAATTAACTCAAATGGATCGACAACGTAAATATATAAGATAAGAACATAAAACTATTAGAATAAAACATAGGAGTAAATTTTTATGATCTGGGCAATAGATTCTTAGCTATGACATCAAAAGCACAAGCAACAAAAGATATTAACTAGTGAAAAGACAACGTACAGAATGGGAGAAATTATTTCCAAATCATATATCTGATAAGGGTTTACTATCCAGAATATATAATTTCTACAAATGAACAACAAAAAGAAAACTCATTTAAAAATGGGCAAAGGATATCAATATACACTTCTCTAAAGATACACATATGGCCAATATACACATGAAAAGATGCTCAACATAATTAGTCTTAAAGGAAATGCATATCAAACTCACAATCAGATACTACCTCATATCTACTTAGAATGGCTAAAACAAAAACAAAAGAAAAAATAACAAGGTGGCAAGGATGGAGAAATTGGAACCTGATGCATTGCTAGTGGGAATGTAAAATGGGGTAGTCTCTGTGGAAAACAGTATGCCAGTGCCTCAAAAATATTAAACATAATATGACCTAGTAGTTCTACTCTTTGGTATATCCCTCTGGATTTATTTAGAATAGCCTAATCCTAAACTGTTTACTCTGCCCTGCCTTCACTTTCCCTCAGAAACCCCAATAAAGGCTCTTATCTAAACCTTCCACTTGCTCCCACCTTTTATGCTTCCTTACCACCTTGGTGTTTTCCTCTTGACCCTGTGTGGCATGCAGTAACTTTCTTTCTGAGACCAGTGAGTATAATAGACTTCTTCCTTCCAAGACCTGTCTTTATATCCTCCTGTGGTTGCAGTGACTTTATCATACCTTACCCAATATTTACATTTTTAAAACAATCTATTTTAAAAACTGATAAAAGTGAACCTGATTATGTTGAAGTATGAGTAGAGGAAGACTTACCAACTTGGGTCTCCCTTTATAGGCATTTCTCATCCTCTAAATTTCTATTTGAAACAGTAACTAAAAGTATTACAAATGGTATGAAAAATTAAGTTTTCTAGGCACACAGAAGGAGACACTAACTTTAATATTGCCCCTTTTCTGGAATGGTTGGGATGACTGTGATGAGAGTTCAAAAAAGAAATCTCCCTCTATAAATGTCTAACCACTATACTATTACCTGAAACTAATTTAACCCATTTCCCATTTCGGAAAAAAAGTACAGCTTGCTGCCAGCGTTAATTTTACATAAACACGCTCTTTGAGGCTGAAGTAAATTTGACTGGTTTTCAATGTGAAAATAAAAGAACTGTTCTTTAGTTATTTCTAAACAGATCTAGTCTCTAATCCTAATGTAACAGAAATGTATACTTAAATCAGATTCATCAAATGAATCTTCGGCTAACAACTGTTTGAGAACAATGTTAACATTATGCGTAGGAATGCTACGTTTTCTAGGATTTTGACATTTTCTGCGATCAAGAATTACTACATTTTGTAAATGGAAATATTCCTACTAAAAACAGAATACTATAAATAGAATGATGTCATTTGTTTCCAAAGACTATGGATATACTAGAGTGATGCAAAAATAATAATAAAAGCGAGACATTTCGTGGCAAACTTTTGAGGTAATGTTAGGGCTGTAATCCGTGAGTAGTCAGGGTAAACACTGCAGCCACAGGCGCTGCTGGCAAGTATTCTCAGGGCAAACAGGAAATAGGTTAATATTGACAGTCAACTGTAACTGGAATAAAAATCTCCCAAAGATAAGATTTGGGCTGGTTCTTCAAGTAGGAGATTCACCTTGTAGGTGGAAATAGAATAAATAAGGAAACACATAAATGTGAGGGGGAAAAATAGTCTATTAAAAGAATCTTAGTGAAGGAAAAATGAACGTGGAAGTTGAGAGAGCTGAAATCTGGAGCTGGAAAGGCTGAGGGAATGTGCCTTCAGCAATTTCAGAGAAGGTGCCTCTGGTCATTCTGGAAAGTAGACTGGTGAATTCACAGCAGCAGCAGGGTCTTAAAATGTGCAAGTCTCCATACCCCCTTGGCAAAGCCCAGGTGGATTTATTGCTGGGAAAAAATAAAAGTTCTAGGGGACTGCAGTAGCCTCCCTTTAAGGCCCCTAATTCCCCTGTGCTTGTAGACTAGCAAGCACAGGACAGATTCCAAAAGTCAGCACTGTGGACTGCTGTCTCCCATTACCTGACACATAATTTTTCATGACTCTGAGCCTGGGCTCTCTCAGAGGGCTGTCCCCTCCTTCAAGCATACCTGACAGTGAAGCTGGAAGGATAACCGGGCTGTGCTTCTTTAGTCACCATGGTGACAAGAAACTATCACAAATATTTGCTTATGACTTCACTCGAGAAGCCAGGCAGGGGAGGTTAGATTGGAAGGAGGAACATCTGCAAAAGCACATCTGGAATCAGCAACCAAAGGAAGGCCGGACTCTTGTTCAAGGACCAGCAGGCAAAGGGGCTTTTTGTCCCATCACGCCCTCCTTTACTGGGGCTGGATCCAGAAATCTATAATATATATATACCTTTTCTAGCATCTGTCTTAGCTTAGTCAAGAACCTGTCTCAAAGTGAACAGATCCCTGAAGTCATACCTCTCATTTCTAGGAAATAAATGCCTAATGTTGCCATACATTTTCTAAGCTTTTAGAATTAAGGGATTAGCAATAATAATACAAAAGAGAGGTATGGACCCTGTTATGGCCTGAATTATGCCCTCCGCTTTTATATGTTGGAAGTTTAACCTCTGGTACCTCAAAATGTGACTGTATTTGGAGATAGGGTCTTAACAGAGGTGATTAAAATGAGAATACGGGGTTAAGGTCCTAATCCAATATGACTAGTATCCTTATAAGAGATTAAGATACAGATGCACATACAGTACATCATGTGAACATGAAGACAGCCATCTCAAGGAGACGTCTTAGAAGAAGCCAACTCTGCTGATACCTTGATCTCTGATTTCTAGCTTCCAGAACCGTGAGAAAATAATTTAT